CCAAGATGAGAAGCCAGAGCCCAGTGAATACCTTGGTGATTTTGGTCAAATTGCTATCACCAGGATCTCAGAAAGATGAGGAACAATTGTAAGGAGAGCTTTGTCCATTAGAGATAATCCCAATTACAGGGGGTGTACCTGAGGACCTGAGAGGGGAGTGGAGGTAGAAGAGCATTTAGGCTAGACCTAGGAGTGGAAGTGGAGTATCGAAACATCAAAAGCATCAAGAACACATAGGTTTAAAGGTTGGGCTCTAGAGTAGAAGCTACAGAAAGGAAGAACAAGAAGGGACTGTGTAATCACTTGAACCAGTATGAAGCTATGTGGTTATTATAAAATTGACTGTAACTTACCTTAACAACCCCCATTTAAATTGTGAACTCCATCAAAGTAGAACTGATCATCCGTTTACTGCTGTGTATCCCCAGCACCAAGAGCCATCCTTGGCTCATAGTAGATGCTCACTAAATATTGGTTGAATGAATGAATGAATGATCTGCATGGAAATTTACTTTAAGCTTTCCTCCCACCAGAGTAAAAATAATTGTATATGTGAACTGCCTGACTGTGCTGCATTGGAGTAATGAGGAGAAAAAGGTGAAGGTGTATCTTAAACCCAAGATGTAAAGCAAAGGGCAGTGGAGACCCAGGCTCAGGGCAGGGATAGTTTGGACAGCTGCCTTTAGAGAGTGTTCCATTTACCTTTGTCACTCGGAAAAAAAGTTGCCTTCATTTTTCAGCTCTCCTTTCCCTGGTCCTGGTCTGTGCTATGCTGGAATTAGGAAGGAAGCCAAAGTCAGGTAGTTCTGAGGAAGAGGCTCCCCATTTGACGTCTTACCGGATATGAACAGCCTATGATTGCTGTTCCATTGCCTGATTAAAAACAAGAAAGGAACAGCCTTAGAAATCAGAAATCCTTCTCTCTTGTTACACTCTTAAGCTCATTTGAACCTGTGCAACCCCTCTGTGGGCTTGTTATGCCACCCTCTAGAACAGTGCTTATCACCTAGCACTTAATAAATATTTATTGAACGAATGACCCTGCCTGGTTATGCAGTTTTGAAAGACCACCCACTGTGCTAGGCTCCTTTCCATTGTCCCTTAAAGAGCATAGGGCTATATTCAGGATGAGGAATTATAAGGAAATTGGAGAAAAGGAACGGAAAGTAACTATAATTTCACATATATCCAAATTCTGGTGCACTTTGGGGAATCCCCTAAGTGTCTCAGATGAGTTGCAACTCCAAATCAATGTATAAAGTAGTTGTTTTAAATGTCTGACTCAAGAACATTTAGTACCTGTTTTCCTTCTAGGGTGAAAAGGAAATTTTGTGCTTGTCTATATATGTCATTATACCTGCGTACTTACACTTGGGGTGAAACTGTTAAAACATTTGTGTCTTTCTTGTGCTTTTCTGGCCCATCAGTTAATGGGTTATACTTAGATATGTAATTCAAGACTTCCTCACTCCTAATCCCAAAGCATTTGAGCATAACCAACGTTTTGCTAGAAGGGGGTGGTATGTGTAGACAGATATGCCTTCTACAGGATGAAAGTTGGAATTTGAATCCCAAAAGGTTTATAGGCAGGCTTTGGAGGCTCCCACTCTAGAAGCCAGGAAGCAAAATATCATGGACAATATTTTTAATACTAGGCTAGATGTGTAGGATGTGAAACTAGTACAGGAAATGTAGAACGTTTGGCAACCTTGTGCTTCCTGTCTAAAATAACTGTTATGGAACATTAGTGGGAGGTAGTATGCTATAATGAATTCCACTCTTTTCCTAATTAGACTCTTTATACTACTGAATTTTCTGTATGTTACAGATTTTTTTCTTTTATTTTTTGTTCTAAGAAAGGTCACATCCCAACTGTGTATATATAAGGGAATATCTATATTTAGTTTCTACCTTTAGGTGCATTTGTCTTCCTAAGTTACATCTTCAACAACTGACATGGTGTTGTTCAGGCAAGACATTTATTTTGAGCACTGTAAGGTTTCTGCTGGGAGTGCTGTAAACTCCAGCTCTAAATTGATGTTGAAGAATCAATAAACTCCTTAGCAGAGGAATAAATGACTAGAGGTAAAAATAATGAAGTAAAATGTAACTCTCGCTTTCTGTTCAAGTATGTATAGTGAGAAGGAGCATATTTGACAAAGAGAACCTTAAACAGTTAACAACCTCAAGGTCCTGTCCCTCATCTGAGTAACATATGCAGATTATTTTTTTTTTAATTTCACTCAGAAAGAGATCATCATGAAGATCAGAATCTGTTGATTACAGTTTAGCAAAAGGTTTGGGATCATGAAACCAGCCAGATTCTTTTCCTAGAGAAGTCAGAATTTTTTTCCCCTGTAGAGAGTATCTTTATTTGACAGCAATGTGTTAGTGACTATAGAGGATCTAGAGAAGAGCTCTTGACAGAAGTTTATTCTGGTTTATATGGTTTATTCTAAGGACTCTGTCTCTCCCCATTTGATCATTGTTTCAGGTGTTTTTCAATCAGATCCAGGGATTAATTAATTCATTTCATAATTCAGCAAAAATTTATTGAACACCTGCTTGGTGCCAGATACTCCATTAGATATTGTAAATACAATGGTAAAAAAAGATATACAGGAGTCCCTGCTCTCATTGAACTTCAAGGCAGACAAGTGAACAAATATACATGAATACATAAAATTCTTTTTTTAGTGTTTATTATTTTTGAGAGACAGTGAGAGAGACAGAGCATGAGCAGGGGAGGGGCAGAGAGAGGAAGACACAGAATCCGAAGCAGGCTCCAGTCTCTGAGCTGTCAGCACAGAGTCCGACGCAGGGCTTGAACTCAGGAACCATGAGATCATGACCAGAGCTGAAGTCGGATGCTTAACTGACTGAGCCACCCAGGTGCCCCTACATACGTAAAATTCTTACTGATGGTGGTTAAGTATGAGGACAGCTACGGAGGAGTAAAAAATGGCAGGATCTACTTAGATATCACAGAAGGAAGGTTTCTCTGAAAAGATGCGTTTCAGGCTGAGGTGTGATGGAAGAGAAGGCATTTCACACACAATTACCTAGGAAACAGCAGGCACAGGTTAAAGCAAGAAAGGTTTGGTATGTTTCAGTAACAGAGGGAAACCCAGCATAGTTGAGGAAGGGGAACATGGCATATATAAATATAAATACAGTTGGGAGAGGTAAATTATGCCACATCATACAGGCTTTATTTTTTTTATTTTTAATGTTTTTTATTTGTTTCTGAGAGAGAGAGAGAGAGCATGAACAGAGGAGGGTCAGAGAGAAGTGGAGACACAGAATCCGAAACACGCTCCAGGCTCTGAGCTAGCTGTCAGCACAGAGCCTGACGTGGGGCTTGAACCCACGAACCGTGAGATCATGACCTGAGCCGAAGTTGGATACCCAACGGACTGAGCCACCCAGGTGCCCCAGTGCAGGGTTTATAGGCCTCAAGAATTGGGGTTTTAATAAGAGACTCTTATATAATGAGAACAAACTGAAGGTTGATGGGGTTGGGAGAGAGGGGAAGGGGGTGATAGGCATGGAGGAGGGCACTTATTGGAATGAGCACTGGGTGTTATATGGAAACCAACTTGACAATAAACTATTAAAAATTTAAAAAAAGAATTGGGGTTATAAAATTTGGATTTTATTCTAAAAACAGTGGGAATCCATAGAAAGATTTTTTTTAATGTTTTATTTATTTCTAGGAGAGAGACAGAGAGAGAGAGAGAGAGAGACAGCGTGAGCAGGGGAGGGTCAGAGAGAGAGGGAGTCACAGACTGAAACATGCTCCAGGCTCTGAGCTGGCAGTCAGCACAGAGCCCGACGCGGGGCTCGAACCCACGAACCGCGAGATCATGACCTAAGCGAAAGTCAGACACTCAACCGACTGAGCCACCCAGGCGCCCCCCATAGAAAGATTTTAAGCACAGAAGTAATATGAACTCACATTTTTTTGTAAAGCCTGCTTTGGCTGCCTGTGGACAGTGAGTTAATGGTGGGCAAGAATGGAAGCACAACAGCCAATTAGGTTATTTATTTATTGCAGGAGTCTAGGTAAGAGAAAATGCTGATGTGGATAAAAATGAGGGTAGCAAAGATGAAGAGAAATGGAGGAATTCAACATGGATTTTGAAGTTGAAATCAAAAGGTTGGGAAGTATGGGATATTGAAAGAGTAGAAGTCAAGGCTGACTTCCAGTAGAAAGTGAGAAGTGATGATGCAGAAGAAAAGGAATCTAGATATGAGCAAAGCCTTTGAGCAGACAAGGGAGGATGGGATTGGGGGGACACTCTTTCCATCTCAACAAGGCAGAAGAGAAAGAATAGATAAAGATGTAGGTCATTGTGTAGATTTGGTGGTGGGAAGAGGAGACACCTCTTTCTGATGGCTTTTGTTTCTTCCACAAAGCATGAGGCAAGATCATCAGCTAAAGGCAAGAAGTGGGAAAGATTTAGAAGGATTGAGGAAATAGGTGAAGATATATATATACAGTCAATTTGAAGAGTGGGAAAGCAAGCTTAATATAGAAGGAGCACTGTGGGGCAGAGATGAGTGCTCAGTTGAGGCTTGTGATTGGGAATACTTTAAATGAAAGCAAAGCCCATCAACTCAGCTATATGGATTTTCTCCAGTCATGTTCAATAGCTCAGGTGCAGGCCCAGAAAAGGCAGTTTAGCTGAAGTCTACTCTTATTTTGCCATATGAGTATATCTGGGAAAGCATAGAGTGGTAGAATGGGATGGACACTTGACTGGGATTGAGAAGACCCGGGCTGTAGTGCAGGCTCAAGCTACTTGCAAACCATGTGACTTTAAGTAAGTCGGTTAAGCTTGCTCTGCCTCCCTTTTCTCATTGGTAAGATAAGAAGGTTGGACTAAATAATCTTTAAGGTTCTTTCTGGCTCTAAAACTGTGTGATTATTTTTTTCCTTGGGACAATTCCTAATCTCAACCAATTTCTCATTAATATAGTGTTGTGATTAAGCGTGTATACTCTGGAGCCAGACTGCTTGGATTTGGATTCTAGCTCCACCACTTCCCAGCTGTGTGACCTTGAGTAAGTCATTTTACCTTTCAGTGCCAGTTTTTTAATTTTTGCAATGGTCATTAAAATACCACATATTTTACTTAGTAGAGTATTGTAGGGATTAAATGAGTCAATACATGTGACACTCTTAGAACAGCACCTGTACTGTGCCCTCAATAAATTTTAGCCATTTCCCCAAACAAATTCTAATTCTACATCATCCCTTCAGCCTTAAAAGGTCAGAAAGCTTGTAATTTCTTCTGCTTTCAGACATGCATACCACCTGATACCATATTTAGAGTACATCATTTTGTTTCAGGTTGGCAATATGGCATAGCAAACTGATTTTGGGACCAGATGGGCCTTGGTTTAAATCCCGAGCCTGCCATTTACTTAGCTCTGAGATCTTGGGTAAATAAGTTAAAGAGCTGGTATTCAAGTTCCTTTTCTACAAAATGAGGATAATAGTAATATTTATATGATAATCTGTGGGAAAAAATGAAATGAGGTAGTGCATGTGAAGTACGTGATAGTACAGGGCTTGGCGCATAGTTGGCATTTAGTGAAAGCAATTATTATGATTATGTTACCATGCCCTAATATTTACCTTGTTATGTCAGTTCTTGAGATATAGGCAACTTTTGCCCCTGTTACTTTTTATTCTCCTGAAACACAAAGGAGCAACAAGTAGCCCATCGGAGAGAAAGACCTGAAAGAAAAAGCAGTATCAGCCAGTACATTAGAGACAAGGTGAAGCCAGAAGGACTAGAATAAAGGGATGCACATTGTGATTTGTTGCAGTCAATATTGTAAACACAGATTTCTTTTAACATTGAAATCTGTCAGTAAGAACAGGTTAATAGAAACCAAGACAATAGTATGCCTGATCTTCTCTGCTCTAAGAAGGTCACCATTGCCTTTCATTTCTGGACAAAGGCACCTTCCACGGACCTCTGCTGATGAAGCTCCAGGGAAGTGGCTGTTCCTGTGAGGTCCTTGAGCTCCTTGAGCTCCTTGATGGAAAGGCATCATGTGAGGCTGAAAAATGTAATAAAATCCCATTCATATATGACCCTCAGAAAACTGCTTTGGGAGCAGCACCTACTCTGCTTCGTATGTTTGAAAACACCCTACTGAGTTATATTGATTTTTTAAGGAAAAGAAATATGGAGGCAATCCTTTTGTGTACCAGTAATCAAACTAGATCATTTATAAGGCTCAAAAACGAGTTCAATTAATATCGATGTTTTAATCTCAGTGTTGCTTTCCACATGGTATTAATTACAAAAATAAATCAGACTCAACATTTTTCTTATCAATTATAATTCAGAAAAATATCATATTTAATTTTTCAAGCTGAAATCTTAGTCATTCTTGTTAAATGCATTTCATCTTATCTACTAAACTGAATGACCAATGTTAGTGCAAGACTTTATCAACTTAGACAAAAAGTAAACTTCCATCCCAGTCCTAATATCCCCTTGTATGTGCTAATTAAATAAGTAACTTAAACTCAGCAGTTAAATTTCCTTTACGAGGTGTCTGAAAAGCAGATTAGTCACTATGAATTATGGGCTTTCTTTCTGTCTCAGATATTTGCTCATATCTCTTTCTCCAGCTCTAAAAAGATTGTGATAGTAATTGTGATCTTACTAGGATACACTATTGTAGTGGCTGGAGCATCAGCTTAGGCATTGTGATACTATTCGCAGTTGGACAAATTCACTTCACTCTCAATCCATTTCTCCTTCAGAAAAATGACAATGATAATATCTGTCCTTATCTATTTTTCTTGGAGGTTGTAAGAATAAATGAAACATGGATGGAAGCAGTTTGAGCATAAATACATAAATCTGAAAAAATATGACTCCTCAAGAATTATTTAGGCATACTCATTTTTGTGTTTTTAGAAAGTCCTTCCCTCTCCAGAAATGTGTAACATACTCCATCACCATCACACTTAAAGAAACAAACACAGACCCTCATGTAATCTAATATACTTTTAAAAAATGGTTACCTTGCACTGTGTAGAATTTGATCAACACGTTAATATATTTACATCTATCTATGTATCCATCTATGCACTCATTAATATATTCAATAAATATTTGTCAAGTTCCTACTATGTGCCAGGTACTGTTTTTTGCTCGATGAAAATTATAAGAATCAAGACAGGACTGATTCTTAGCTTATGAGCTTATGATCTAGTAAGGGAGATGACAGTTAAACTAAAGTTTAAGTACTGTATGTAATGGGTGGTTGTCACAATGTAATAGAATACCAAGCAGGAGTACAGAACCTGAGATGTGGAGGGTAGAGAAGGTGGAAAGACTTCCCATGGAAGTGATAGTTAAGGCTTCAAGAATGAGTAATTGTAGCCTTGCAAAGATGAGTAGAGAAGAATATTCCAGAGAGGACAGTATCTGCACTCAGTATTTTGTGGTGTGTATCCACATTTAGAAATCAGCCCATTTATAGGTGCCTTTACCTAAATTTGGAGGAACTTTATGGCTTTTCAAACCTTGTGGATTATTAATTCTGTTCCTGGATACACTGTATAAATGAAACCCTGCCTTAGTATGAACTGATTTTGGTTTTTGATTACTTTTCTAACTCCTACAAGTCAAGTTCTCAACTTCAAATGTTTTATTAGGGCCTTATGGTTCTGAGTGTTGTTTATTTTGGTTATCACAATTGCAGATAATTGCACATTTACATTTAACATGAATTTAAATGCTTTTAATGAGTTTCTGCATTTTGGCTGGGTTAATTAGTTTATTAGTAGGGAATTGTGTCCACCAACACAAGTCTGTTTTATCTATATAAACCCTAGCAGGCATGTATAATTTTCTGATATTAGCATAGATTCAGAAATCACTCATCTATGTGATTTAGATAGTGACCATTTATTTATAAACAATTTTTAAGACCATGTAAATCACTTTCTAAAATTAGCTGAAATCCTTTCCCTCCAAAATTTTTTAGGATTTTATTCCTCTCTGAGCTCTGGATATTAAAGAGTTTTTAACTCTTTATGTTTGAACTATTTCTTATTGACTTTTAAGAATTTTTCTATCCTATTTGCAAAGCATTGAGCTGCAACCTTGTGTTTTCTTCAAACTAAAAACAGTTTATCCTTCCAGGTAATAATCTGGATCTGATGCAAACACATCAAACTTCATAGAAAGTGAAGAACATTGTGTGTAATTAGCATTAGGGCATAATGAGCCATCTCACTGGCTTGAAGACAGAGCTAATGTCTGCAGGTGCTATCACTTTTTGAGGAACAACAAATGAATGATTTAAAATGTGATCTTGGTATGCATTTGACAGTATATATAGTGAAAGTTTATAATATGTAATTACATATGCTTATCCCTTTATGGGACTTTATCTAAAATGAAAAGGGCACCTAAGCCCAACTCTCCCTCAATTTGGACTGCATAAGCTGACAGGTGACAAAACAGGGCTCAGAGTTGACATAATTTCTACCATATAGCTAACTTTAGCTTTTGATCAAAGTGAATATCGATAGTTGTAAAGGAAATGTACTTCTCTATTCTTTTATAAAACAAATATATTGTAAAAAACTTCAAATACAGAGATGAACATGGTATATAGTTATGCCCACAATACAGATTTACCAAACATTAATATTTTCCATATTTGTTTCCAATCCTTTAAGAAGACAAATATGGTTGAGCAGTTGAAATTTACTTTGTGCCCTTCCCTGATCACATTATCTTTCCTTCCTCCCCAGAAGAACTACCATCCTGAAGTTGGTATAAGTCCTTCCCATTCATGTATTTGCACCTAGAAATGCATGCACTTAGAAACAGTATTTGGCAGAATTTTAATATTTAATTTTTACAAAATTTATATCACACTATCCATGTCATTAAGAAGCTTGCATTTTCCACTCTATTTCTAAGATTTATCTGTATTGATATACATACCTATTCATTTTAATAGCTATAGAGTGTTTCATTTTATTTCTCCATGTCCTTGTTGATAAGTTTTGTAGGTTTTTTTTTCTTACTTTTCTTACTTTTCACTATTACAAAAAGTACTCCAATATATATCATTGTTTATGTCTTCTTCTGGGTATGTGTAAGGTTCCCAACTTGAAGTGACAGTACTGAGTTGCAGAGCATATGTATCTTTCAACTTTATAAGACACATCCAAGTTGTTCTTCAAAGTTGTCATTCCACTATCTTAGAGTTGGGGCTTCTGTGACAAGTACCATGGACTGGGTGTCTTATAAACAACAGAAATTTATTTCTCATAGTTCTGGAGATTGGAACTCTGAGATCAGGGTGCCAGCATTGTCAGGTTCTGGTGAGGGCTCTCTTCCAAGTTTCAGACTGCCAACTTATGTATCCACATATAGTAGAAAAGAAGGCCAGAGGGGCGCCAAGGTGCCGCAGACAGTTGAGTGTCCAACCCTTGAATTTGGCTCAGGTCATGATCCTAGGGTCATGGGATCGAGCCTTGCATTGGGCTCCAGGCTGAGCATGGAGCCTGCTGAAGATTCTCCCTCTCCCTCTTTCCCTCTCACCTGCTCATTCACTCACTCTCTCTAATATATATAATATATAATATATATATATTAGACTGACTGCGTTTTGCGTACTGCTTCCACGTGAAAACTATTCCTTGATTTGCAGTCAAAGCCATTACTAGCTTTTTTTTTTTTAATCTGACTGTGCTTTGTATACTCTGGGCTGAAATTCTGGCTCAGAAACAATCACCTTACCTCTAAGGTCTGCTGCCTTACCCCAACACTATCTCTGGTGCATCTTTAAATCATATCTCTACTTTCCATTGTCCAGTTTCTTTTTCCTGATTATCTTCTCATCTCACATTTTTTTCCCACCCCTTTGTCTATATGTCAGTAGCCTGGTTTCATTAGAGAATCTTAGGTGGGTGATACTCTTCTGTAAGATCCTCAGTGATGCTAAAGAAACTATGCAAGAAGTCAGAAGTCAGATAGCATCCAAGTCTCATCACAAAATAAAAGGATAGGCAT